ACAAATCAACTCAAATTACAGATAGATCAAATTACATGAGAACTGCTTGCAGGTCAAATCCAAAAGAAATCAACATAAATTCATACAATACTCAAAGTAAACTGGATGTTGCAACCATATATCAACAACAAACATGAAAAAGATGTAAACAAACGAACTCAAGAACCAACATAAAACAAAGACACATTATTTGTTGCCAGATCTTCTCGGAGTAGGAAATCAGAATCATCAAATGCACCTATGTAAAATAAAACAAAATTAGAAAAATTAAAGTTTCAATATTATATAGAACTTAGAACATACACAAAGAATATAGAGAGAACTAGCTGTAGAAACTTACTCAACTAAGAGCGTTGGTTGGGTTTTTGAATTTTTTTCTTCTTATGCATGCCGTTCCATCTTTCAACAAATTTCTGCTGATATTTCTCCACCTTCTTCACTACCCCCCATGGTTTTCCTGTAATGAACGCAATGTATCCCAGACTAAGCCCCAACACCAGTCCACACCCATAACCCGCCAATGCAAACTTCCAATTAAAGAGTGCTGCAGAGTCATCTTCTTCATCAAATTTTGGTGGAGGTGCTCCTGGATCATCCCCATTATAGCATTTCTTTGGCAATGGGAATCCACACAACCCAGAGTTACCAATGTAGGAATCATTTAAGAAAGTGTTGAACTGCTTCCCTTGAGGTATTTGGCCCACAAGTTCATTGTGTGAAAGATTCAAAAATGAAAGGAATGTTAGATCTGTAAATTGCTGTGGAATCCTGCCTTCAAGCCTGTTTGATGAGAGATCAAGTGATTCGAGTTTTGAGAGATTCCCCAAAGATGTTGGAATTTGACCAGTGAGATTATTGTGAGACAAGTTCAGCAAACGAAGTGATTTAAGCTCTCCTAGCTCTTTAGGAATTGGTCCATGGAATCTATTGCTTGAGAAATCAATGGTTGTGAAAATTAACAAGACCCTATTAAGCGTCCTCGTTTGGCCTTTCACTACTACATCCACAGAATCCTGATAATAAATTGGAAAACGACTCATATATTTGAAAATCCAAATAGAAGCCAATTCGCCTTCAACACTTGGTGCATCTCTCATACCTTTCAAAATTTTGAAATAGTTACTCGATAGGAGACCCATAAAATCATTCTGCGCGACATCAATGATTCTCAACTTAGGGAAGTAAAATGCAGGCATAGAATTGCTGATGGCACCTTGAAATCGATTAGATCGAAGGATGAGAACTCTTAGCCATCAAAGAACACCTAACCAATGTGGAAAGGTATCATTCAAGTTGTTGTTCCCCACATCTAGAATTACCAAGTTACTACAATTAACCAAAGACCGTGGCAATATCCCTTCCAACTGGTTGCCATTTAGTTTAAGAGTTCTCAACTCAATCCCGTTGATGAAAGAATTTGGTATTCTACCATGAAACTTATTCATCTACAGATCCAAAATGGAGAGAGAGCTAAAGTTTCCAAGACATTCTGGAATTTTCCCTTCCAAACTATTATTAGCTAAGTCCAAAATATCAAGAGAATTCAAATTGCAATAAGAAGGAGGGATTTCGCCAGTCAAATTATTCCCTGAAATGAGGAGTCTTCTAAAATTCCAAACTGTTGGTGGAATGGGAAGTGATCCTTGTAGTAAGTTGGATCTAAGGTCAACAATTTCAAGTTGTCCCAAATCAAATAAATCTATACCGGTCAAGAAGTTATAAGAAAGGTGTAATCTAGCCATTGACATCCCTTCTATTTCCCATTTGTGAATATGACCAGAAATCTTGTTCTTGGAAATATCCAATACTAGCAAACTCTTTGCCTTCCTTAAGAAAGTTGGGAACTTTTGTACGTTGCAAGAAGAGAATATGAAAGACTGAAGTTTTGGAAAGGAATAGTTGACACCAGTGACATTATTGCTTAAAGACAGCAAACCATTATTGGAGAAATCAAGACTCTCAAGGTCTACAAGCTTCGAAAGCATGATGGGTGTAATGGTTTCACTTAAATTATTTGAAGAAAGGTCGATTTTACGAAGACTCATAAGGTCAAAGAAAAAGCTAGGGATTGAACCACTTATTTCATTATTGGACAAATAGACTTCTTGTAAAATGAGGTTAGGCATCTCAATATGATCAATAGGTCTTGTAAGTCTATTGTTTTGGAGGTCTAAAAAGGATAAAGAAGGCAGAGAAAACAACCAAGATGGTATTTGACCTATTAGCTTGTTTGATGACAATGACAAAAAAGCAAGATGGGTGAGGTTGAAGATTGATGTAGGAATTTCACCACCAAAATTGTTTCCACGAAAGATCAAATGAGTTAGCTTGTGCATTTTTCCAAAAACACCAAAATTCTGCACTTGGAAATTGTTGAAAGAAAAATCAAGTGAAGTTATCTCTGTAAGATTTGCAAGAGATCTAGGAATTGTTCCATAAAATTGACATTTATAAAGGTCCAATTCCTCCAAGTGTTTAAGATTTCCAATTGAATGAGGCAACTCTCCTGAGAAGCTTGTGTATATCATATACAAATACTTGAGGGGAGTACTCCAATTTGACTTAGGCAAATTGCCTCTCAAATGAGAGTTGTACCCTATATCAAGAAACTGGAGAGATGGAAGGTGAAAAACTTGGCTTGGAAAGTTTCCTTGCAAACTACAATCTCTAAGGCTCAAATGCTCCAAGGAGGAAGTCAAGTTTAGCAAGGAAGAAGGCACTACCAGAGACATATTCACAGAAGCAAGGATAAGAACCCTTAATTCTGTTAAGTTAAGCGCAAGCTTTTGAAACTTTATATTGTCAAGAAGCAAACCATAATTAACAGAGAGATCGAGTGAAACCAATTTTGGTAGCAAGATCTCATCAAACACGAGAGAGCCATCCATGCCTCTTGAATCTACAAGGTTAAAAAATTGTTAAATTAGAAGAAGTGAAACCAGTTTTGGAAGCACGGAGATTTTAAACAGCAGAAAAAGAAATGAAAACTCGTACCTGAAAGATTAAGATATCTCAAACTCTTCCAACGGTTGAACCTAAATGGGATATTAGGAAAATAAAAATAATTGGCAGAAAGGTTGAGACTCTGCAATTTCTCAAGGCGGAAGAGACTACTATTTGTAGTTAGATTGGCTTCAAGACAATTATTGCTAAGGTCAAGGCCAATCACGTGACCTTTCCGCTTGTCGCATGTGATGCCCTCCCACAAGCAGCAGTCTTTACTCTCGTTCCAAGTTTGTATTATACGACGAGGAGTACAAAAATAGCCAGCCTTCACATCCGTAGTGCTTTTGAAATCAAGTAATGCAGAACGTTCTCCAGGATGGCACACATGTGGTGGTGAATCGGAAGAAGATTGAGAAGGTGAGGAGGAGCTTTGGACTCGAAACTGTAACAACATGAAGGAAAGGCAGAGGATTTGGGAAAACCATATTAACCTTCCCATTTTTTTAAAGATGAACACAATTTGGCAAAGAATGGAGAGTGATGGATTATTCAAAATTGAAGGGTTGGACACTAGTATTTATAGTCTTCTCAAAAGTGAAAGTCCTTCTACTTTTTTCCAGGTTTACACATAAATTTCTTTAGTATGGTCAAAGTCAACAAAA